GGGGGGCTTTTATGTGTCCTGTCACCAAACATGTCTCACTGTCGGTCTATCTATCTGTCTGTCTTTCCTTTCCTATACTTTTCCCTTCTCTCTCTCCGGCCTTGTTTCAATAGAGTGCATTCCAACAATTCTTTGCTGTCAATCTCTCTCTCTCATTCAGACTCGTTCGTTAGCTGCCGTTGACAGATCCTTGCTGAGACATGAAGAGTTTGAGCTGCTTTAACTCTGTCATAATGAACGCAGCCAAAACTCTGCTCCTTCCTGCCAAAATATGGATGCATAAGAGAAAAGAAATGAACTCAAGAACACACAATAATGGACAGAAACAGTTAAAGATCATTGTTGTGGTCTCTTGTTTGACATACGTGAACTTTGCCACAGGAGTCTTTTGCGATCTTTATCAGATTGATAATAAATCCCCCAAAATATGATTTTGATCCAAATAGTCTTTATGATATAGCAAAATGAACACATACAATATGCATAAACATAAAAAAATGGCTCTACAAATCACCATATACGCCCAAGCTGTATTATGATTGTGTATGTGCTTGATCTATCTGTAGAGATGGAGTACGTATAGAGTATTTTACGATTGCTTGCTGTAATAAATATGTAAGCTTCTGGTTTCTGGTTCTGGATCCATCCCTGTTTCATTGTTTGATCTGTTTTGGCCACATTCCTCCTCCTGCGGTTTGGAAACCTGAGATCCAGGGCCAGCGGTCATACTTGAGGCTCGAGGGGCCAACTAATGACTTCCCATTAGTCCATTTGGTCTACATGATCCTCTATTATCTTCCAGACACGCGCTGCAGAGAGTCTATCCCCACGACTAATCGAGGGTCAATGGTCCCCCTCTCTAAACTCTGAATCGTGTGGCAGCAGCAACATAAGTGCACATCAGCGTCCACGTACACAAACCCTAGGAACTGCACAAATACAGTAGATGGATGTTTTTTATCTCAGGCAGCCGACCGGGAGATGAGGACACAACTTTGCAATTACTGCGTCAAATTAACCAGCGAAGCTTTTCAGCCAGAGACAAAAAACGCAGGAAATCAAATGGCATCATTGTTCGATAGGAGATTAGTTCAGGGTGCTCTGACCTTCTCCGGATCCTCTGAAAAGCTCTTAAATATTTGAGCGTGTGCTGTCATTTCTCACTCGATTGTTCCACAAAGAGGGCCCTCTGTACTCTGTTCATGGTGAAATTTGGTTATGAGCTTAGGACAGTGTGTGTGTGTGTTTGTGTGTGTGCCAGTATTTGAGGGGGTGTGATTTCCTTCACACAACAGTTCTTCCACATGTGCAAGACTGTGTGCAGTTATTTCTACATTGGCAGAATTTTACTTACATGCTATGACTCATCTGTTTTTGTCCACACTCAAAAACTAGTCACTGGTGCATGTCCAGTACTTTTTTTTGTGTGTGTGTGTGTGTGTGTTTTTTTTAAAGTTGTCTCCTCTGTAGAAATGATGGATGGCTGTCGTGAGATGTTACAGCTGCAGGTGTGAGTGTGTGCGTCAACAAGAAAATCCACAGTGCGAAATGAAGCAGGTCCCAGTGGGAAAATCCCTACCCCTAGTCATAAGCGGTTCTCTTCTCCTCATCCTCCTTCTCCTTCATCTCTCTTCTTTCTCCTCAAACACACTAACAACTCAGGACGGGTTCCTGCATAACACCCCTGCCAATGATACACAATTCATTGCCATAACTTTATTTAGGAAGCAAAAATCCTGACATTTAATGTAAAGCAGATTTGACCAAATAGAAAAGCTAATGTAGGAGAAAATATAATTTCTTATGTGGGAGTTGAAGGACACGTCCTGATCAAACTGACCTTCCAGAATTCTTAGTGGAATTTAGGAGATAATGTGTGTCTGTCACAGTTTGGCCCAATCAATCAATCAATCAATCAATCAATCAATCAATCATTATTTGTATAGTGTATATACTGTATGCTATCTCAAGACACTTCCCAAAAAGAGCAGCCCAGACCGTACTCATTATTAAATTATTTACAAAGATTATTTTTCTTTATCTGCCTTAATTGATCAGTATAATGCAGTATCATCTGCATAACAAGAATATTTGTAAAATGTTTCCTGACAATATTTTATATTTTGAAGGCTGAAGGCAACCTGATATATCTCCAGAAATATATAAGGCCAAACCTTGTGGAACTCCATGACCAGCTTAGAGAACCTTTGTTCTCCAAACTGAGATCCTTCTGATTATTAGGATGCAAACCAGCTTAAGACGGTTTCATATTAGTTGCAAATGTCTATATTTCGCTCATTTTTTGATGATTTATAATCAAGGTCATGTCACTTTAGAATAAAAAGAACAGTTAGCTTTTATCTCTACTAATACAGTAAGATTAGTACAGTAAGAGTTTTTTTATTTGTTCATGGTCATATGATTTGATCTTTAGCGTGGGTCTGCATTGGTGTCCACAGTCCCAATTGTTAGTCCACTTTACCAGGGGCCTTGGACAAACGTGCAAATATGAAACAGTGTGTAAATATAGCTCCATAGCTCATGCTGTTTCCTCCATTGACTCTTGTTAGAAAAACAATGGCATCCTATTATTCACTGGGCCATGATTGAACTGGAAGAAAAGACTTAACTGACTCTGGGGAAAATGTTCATGTAGCTACAGTATGGAACAGTTTGAGTCAGGATATTGTCTCTAATGCTTTTAGTCAGAATGGGTAAGGTATGAATATATTGAGCAGTTTTGTTGTTTTATGTGCTTCAACTTTACGTTTTTTATTTCCCAGTGATAAAAACTCTTTGCTTTTTCCATATGTCACATTTTATTATTATAAGTCTGATTGTCTGTCTGGCTTGCAGACTATATTTGGTCCTGGGTCGTCTGAGTTTGAACACGCAGAAGTCACCGCCAGGCATTGTTCACAAATGTTCTCTAAACATGAGCGACCATCAAAGGTCAGCACTCTGAGAATAACTTGGGTGATATTTAGAAACACCTTTTGAGTCCTGATAGCCTGGCTAGCAGTGATGCTGAGGTAACAAGAGGAGTCAGTTGGCATGGCAACTATCCCTGTGACCTCTCCAGCAATAGTCCAAGAATAAAGGTCTGTTACGCAATGCTCTGACTTTACGATCGTGGGTAATTCATATACAGTAAGTTGACCTAGCTTAAGTGATCTTGTATTTAACATAATTATTTTTGAAGCAAAACAGTATATGTGCGTTTATAAACTCAGATACATTTAAACAGGACAATATGGCCATGCGTTAAACTCAGATCAATACATTTTCACTGTTCATGATAATAAAAAAAGGGCACTAATTCTCACAAGATGTTAATTTAAAGCCATCAATATTAATGACAGGGTAGTTGTTATTCATACATTTCAACCAGAATGTGTCTGTAAAGGGGTTGGCTTCATCTTATTATCTCTAAAACAGATGCATAAAATGTTGTATATCCATAAACAGTGAAAATACAAAGTGCTGTATTTAAAGCTTACTTAAGTAAATGTCCATAAATGTACCAAGAAATGTGTTTCGAATAACACTAGATAGGGTTAAAAAAATGATGTTCACTTTTTTTTGTTAATTAAGATCATAAATTAAAGTCTGACCAAAAGAAATGCAGAAATGTGTAAATAAGTGGTAGAGGAGGTGAGGTAGCCTATCATTTATTGAAAATCATTTATTTAAATGGGAAGAACTCCATTACAAGTCAAAAAGCTGCATTCAAAGACCTTTTTAACCAAAAGTCCATTAATATACAAGAAGAACTTAAAGTAACAGTTGGAATGCGGAAATGACCATGTGTGTAATATTGTCAAATATCATAGTATTCTTTGGATAAAGCTATGAAATATTGTGTATTCTTTATTACAATTGGAAAGTGCTGTATTTAAACCTAATGGTCACATATTATACAAACTACACTTGGCACTAATGTGTGTCCATAGTCTGTCTACAAACCCCCCAATAATGAGAAAAGTCCATCCTCTCCATCTTTTGCCTGCTCCACTTTTCAGAAAATGTGTGCTCAAACAGGCCGTTTGGAGATTTTCCCTTTATGACATCACAAAGAGCAGTAATCTCTCCCCCAGTTGTGACACTCCCACAGCTAGGTGTTTGTTCTGCCCTCTGAGTCTGCCTTCTCACCGTAAACAACTGGGCATGGAGTGAGAAAGCTGGAGCCACCCAAGCCCTTCAAGAGAGGGGGCGTGGTCAAACACAGCTCATTTGCATTAAAGGTACAGACACAGAAACAGCCTGTACTGAGCAGGGCTGAAATAGAGGGGTTTACAGACATGATAAAATACAGGATCAGTGGATTTTGAGCAAGACACTTCACAGAACTTTATTAAACTGGTTGAAAAGGAGGATAATATGTGACCTTTAATGCTGCATTTAATGATATCCTGGGGTAAAAGTAAATACTTTAGATGTTAAAAGTCAAGTCTCCAAAAGTATTTGGTGTGCAGAAAATGATAATGTGTGCAAAACATGTTGATTCTTTATTTCAATAGGACAGTGTTTCATTTTTAAAGAGCTGTGTTCAAAGTCTAACGCCACTACGAGTCCATAAACGTATTTAAAAGTTGTAAAGGTAAGTTATAATTGACTTATATCTCTATAAATTGTGTTTTAAATTGTTTGAGTAGCATTTGACTATTGCATTTAATTTGATTTAATTTTCATTTTCACAATATTCTAAGATTAATCAACAAAATAAAGTCACATTTAGTTACCTGCAGAAAATGATTTGGTATGAAATCTTGAACTAAATAAAGTTATAATAACTCACTCTGAAATGCAGGCTAATGAATGACCACTGCTCTTTTACACTGACATTTATATGATCAGAACTGATCATACTTTCAGATCATGTGGTCAGAAAACACCATTCAGATCTACAGACAAACCCACATGTTGGCCCAGCCTTCAGAAATATCTGCATAAATGATTCACAACAGAGGAAATATTGCTCAGAGCTGGTGTGAGGCGTTTGTGGACCCTTTGTGTGCAGATTATCACCCATTCTTCAGGCAGGGGGCGGGAGAGAGATACTGTGGAACAGACCAACAGGAGAGTACTCTTGGAAATCTGCTCTCACCCTCACCACCACCACTACCACCACCAACATCATCATCATCATCGGCACTGCGTAATCAGGCAGGTCCAGGGCTGAGGCGCACCGAGCCACACAGAGCTCTGCTTATTGATAAGACTCCTTGGAAGAAGAGGAAGGCAAACTACAGAGCTGACCATATATTTCAGACTTCTGGAGACACCACGTTGAAAGAGACCATTCATTACTGGAAAAAAAGAGAACTTAAGTGGATTTTCAATTGATTATCGCAAAGAAAGAGGACAAAATCGGCATGATTCAAAGTTTTCCTACTTTGTAAGCGTCCTGGAAAGTTTCATCTTGTCAAGTATGGACCCCTGATGTTTGGAAATGTCATGAATTCTTCTTTCGATTGTAATTATTGCAATATTCTTGCACATTACAGGAGAGAATAGAGAGAATTCTTGCTCGAGGAGAAATACAAGACAACATCACGTTGAAGAAACGTGAATTAAAAAACTTTGGATTTTGATCATTTTACTGGAGATTTCATTTCAACACATGAAACTTTGTGGCCGCTGGTCTTCTCCCTCTTCTTTTCTTCTACTTTGTTTTTTTCGGATATCTCTTCTGCTGGAGAGAGACGACCGCGAGGGAGGGAGACGAGCCGTCCACGCGCGCGCAGTTTTAAAGGGCGAGCCGCTGTCCCCACGCGCGCAGTGCTGAGGAGTGAGGCACTCTCGCGCTTCCATAAATGCCCGGTCCGAGGCTCGAGGCTGGGCAGCAAGATGAGCTCGTGGGTCCAGCTGCTGCTCGCGCTGCTGGTGGCGTGTCTGCGGTTTGGCGTCGCCGAGGTGAGTTTACGTCAATGACAGGAACCTTTTTATGACTGTTAGGGCACCTTAAGAGATGTTTCACCTCGAGTCAAATATTAAACTCTTAAAATAAGGTAGACAAATTTAACACCTTCCTGAACACTTTACCAGAGCACTGACACTGACTTATGTCAAAACCTTTTGATTTTTTAAATATTATTTTATACTTCTTGTATCTTCTATCATAAGAGCATGTGTGCTATCCTTTCCAAACCCAACACTAGCCAACATGATAATCTAATCCAGGTGGGTTTTATACATTTGGAGTGAGTGCACCTGCTTCAGTAGGCCAGCTTAACAAAATCATCTGATTCCCTTTTACTGCTTCTGAAATTGATGGTATCCTCGCAATAAATAACTGTTATTCCTCTCATTAGCTGGCTTAATGAATGGGTGCCCAGGGGCATACACAATGCAGAGGTCGTCCTCTGTGTCTAAAGATGAGGAGGCAGGAAGCACAGGCTGCCATGATAGGCTCTTTCACAGCTGGCTGCTCCACGTGGTGAAGTGATGTTTATGGATGCTGTTCCAGATGTTGAGCAAGGCTGTAATTAATGTCAGTGCTCACCATGATTAAACTTCAACCTCATGGTTTAGAGTTCAACGTTGCAGTGACACTATCAACGCTCTATTCTTCTTTCTTAACGGCTTAAATGTACAATATTTTATTACCTCGTTAGATTTTTAACTGTGAATTTTGGATTTTCAAGTTTGTGTCTGGAATGTTGAATTGTAATTGATGATTACAGATAGAGTTGATCAAATACAAGTATCAGATATTCTGTGAGAAAATGTAAAGGATTGGCCTACCAGTTTCAGAAATAGGTCCTATAGGCCTGCTGTCTAATATTCAGATTTGGGCATCGTAGAGTACTCCAGTCAATGGACTGAGCCAATACCGTAGCCTATGTTTGCATATTTGACGCCCCCCCGAATAATGTACATGTTTCTTATTCTCCAAACCAGAAGCCTCGAGTAATAATATCTCTTCAGGCTGTAAATGGAAAACGCTGTTTTATAGTGTCGATGAAGAGGAGGACTGCTAAAAGAGATTGTAGCATCAGCCAAAGCTAGCTAACTGTCACCAAACACTTTTACAATCATATCTTTTTGTATTGGCCAATATTCAAGTCTAAGTAGGCAATCTGATTAAGTATGGGGAAAGGGAAAAAATGGTTTTAAATCCACATTTGCCGTAATTACATTTTCATTTGTTGCGAAACAAAAACAGGAAGTAGTAGGCTATAATATGCGTGTTGGATAGATGGGCAAAGTGTGACCGTCTGCTGCGGTCAAACAGCAAGACATAACCATACCGAGGGTCTTTTCTCAGTCAGTTGAGGATTGACAGTAATGCAATGTTGATTTTTGAAAGAAAAAAGTTGCCTCTTTTGTTTAAATATACAGTAGTCTATAGATTACTGTTTTTCTGACTCCGGGTATTCATCTCCATAATGCATTCTCTGGTGTCAGTAAGAATGAAATGGAGGTAAAAACATAATGTTAGCATGTCAGTCACAGGAAATGGAGATTTGAACAAATCAAAAAGTAGGCACAAGCCTTTAGTTTGCTGTAGTAGTTTCCCTTTCGGTCGTATGGACCTGTTTTGTTATCTTCCAAAACTGAGAAACTAATGCACATGTTTGAAATCCTCAGATGTCAAAGATACATCAAACGTTAGTCACGTCAAAGTAATACTGTATAACCTCCTATAGTGTCTTCTCAATAACGGGTGTCACAAGTGGTTTCATTCCTCTTTGATTCACATGTACAATCACATTTAAGTGTATGCATAATCTACTCGCATAAAGACCAAAAGAGTTAAACACACTTATGATGGATGACTTTAAGTTCCTGTCATCAGCCTGTCTTTTCATTTTATGGCTTCTGTAGGCAGCACATGTTAAAGAAAATGCAAAGTTTGACGGGCTTTGAGGTATGCAACTAGGAATTCCCCCAAGTCTAATTTAAAAGTGACAGTGTCGCGCTTGTGAAATGATGGAGTCTGTGTAAAAAGATCCATATAAAAAGGTCTATAATAAAGATCCAGCTTTGGGATTCAGCCTTCATTTAAAAGCCGGGTAACAAAAAAAAGTGCAACATAATTAGCATATACATTTAATGATGGACCACCAAAGAGGAATTTGTTTACCTTTAAGCTAAAACCTTTAAAACATTTTTTAAATAAGTGATACAATATGGCATAGGAGTTAATTCAAGTCCCATTCATTCACATCTGCAGCATTGTGCACGTGGAGGCAGAGTTTTAACGGCTACATGTGAAACCTCACACGTGCTGCCGCCGCGCCGGCAGCAAACTCAAGCCTCTAATTATGTCCGATTAGATGTTCCTGCCCCTCCTCCTGCCCCCCTGCAGCCTCTGCCTGTACCTGGCATTCCTCAATATGTCCAACAGACCTCCAGGGAATGGGGTTGCACGCTTCGGATGCTGGAATATGTCAAAATCGGGGTTTTTCAAACGTGAGATGATTTGAACTCTCTGACTTAAAAAGAGGGAAAGTCACTGCAGCTCAAAAACATCTCGATAGATTCAATGTAAATAGAGTTGCACGCATACTGCCAACTATTAGTAACAGTACTACCCAACATGTGGTATTGGGTAATAATGCATAGCTCTGATTCCTTAACCAGTTGGGCCAAAAATGGATCTGGTTTCAGGAAATGTATGGTATGACAAGAACAATTACAATGTGTTGCTAGCAGAGAGTGTAACGTTAGTCAAAGCTTATGAAGTGTCAGCCATCCACCATATTAAGAATATTTTTTAAACAAACTTTGGTTTCGGCCAATGTTTAAATGTTAACAGAATCAGTATCTAACAGGCCTAAGTGTGTTACAATCTTTGGCCATGAGTTACATAAAATATCCATGGGGATTTACACGTTCCGTCTGCAACTATTGAATTTGTTTACATTTGTTTTGTTTATCCGACTCCAAGTGTTTATTTAGTGTTTCCTGCTTAGACACAAATCGCCATGACGGCAGGCACCACTGCGAACAAAGGCACACATCCTATAATTAACATCAGTCACAATTAGCCAAGCTGGGCAGATTTGCTCCAGTTGGCGAAGGGGAAGAAATCATCATGATGACTCCTCTGGGGGCATGGGCAGCTCTGAAACAGAGATGTTAGTGTAATACAGCAGGCATTTCCCCGCTGTACAGTTGGACTCTCTGAAAAGCTGAACAACAATGGAGGAAAGTCAATGGCATGTCGTACAGGCAGGATGAGAATACACGTTCATGCATGGATGGCTGCTTCCTTTGGCTGCAACCAGCCTCCCCGTAGGGATTCATTAAACTCTGCACAACCTGATTGAATTCTCACATGGACCAAAAAGGATGGGGTGCAAAATTGTGTGTTCCCAAACGCTCATTAACATTTAAACAAGACACTGGACATTTACAAGGGAACTATTTACAAAAACAGAAATGTTACCATTTGATTTATTGAACCAGAGTGACCTTAAAGCTTATTCTCCTCTGTAGTCCATACGAAGGTTACAATGAAAACGTCAACTTGAGAGCTGAACAATATTTAGCATGTTTACCGTGATGCCGCTGTATGAGCATTCACAATAAACACATTGTAAAAGTCTTATTTTATCGCCATTAATTAGAAAAACCATTTGAAGAATCAATCATTGTTTTTCCTCATTCATCGTGTGTACTGCTTACCTCTGGGTTGAGGTCTTGAGTCATTCTGTACCACCGCTTTGATCATCGGGCTGCACAATTTACAACAATTTTGTCCTTATTGCGGGGACAGCATCCGCAGGAAGCACATTCCAAAAGTCTGAATTCATTGCAATAAGTGGGGCAAAATGATTTTACATAAAACAAACAATATTTTCTCACTCGGCTGTGTTAATTGTATCGATTGGACGGAGGCCAGAGTGTAATGACAATGCTTTGACAACATCAGGATGTAGTCACATATAGCTGATACACACTCTTTCACAAATCAGTGGTTAAAGAGTTGAGCAGCTTATAGGAAGTGTCTCGACCCGAGTCTGATCCTCGTCCATTTTAAACTCGTCTTTTATTCATCCATTATCCTTTTTTTTCTCCAGATACCTCCCTCCTCTCCTCCTCCTTATATCACTCCTTCCCCCACTTCCTGACTCCTTCCTGACTCCTCTGACCCCTAAATGTTAGCAGATGAGAAGACACAACGCCAATAGTCATTCACCCCGCTCTTAGTGACCATTGTGTGTCTGCTTTGGTTAATACTCCCCCCCCACCTCCTTCCCCCTCTCTTTCTCCCCTCTCTCTGGCTGTCTTAGCCATTAATGACAAGTGGGGGTTAAACCCACACTCAGTCCATAGAATCACAAAGTAGAGATGCTGCTTGGGTTTGGTCTGAATGTATGTGGTCAAAGCTTAGTTGATTTTGTTGTTACACAAGTCTTATTATTTGAAGTACTGTCCATTTAAGAGCGAAAACAGGCCCAAGTTTCCAGTCTTTACACACTAAAACACGTGTGAAATGGTTGTTGCAGACTTTCTGCAGTCATATTCCATTTCCTCAGAGGAATTGTTTGGAAACCTTTAATTTCAAAAGCAGGATGAACACATGGTGGGAACTGCTCTCACAGACCTGTGCACTGCTGGAGAATCGTCCAAAGGGCGATGTGACTTTTCCCATATACCTATAATCATGTACTAAGATGTTGCTGAGTATTGCATGTTATATTAATGTTCATATGTGTTTGTGTGTGTGTGTGTTTCAGGGGGAGCCTCTGCCTGCAGCCCTGGTGGAGCTGGTTAGAAACAGTCCCATCTCCTCCATAGAGGACCTCCAGCTGCTGCTGCTCTCTGACTCCGTAGGTAAAGACCAACACATTCTGCTTTTACTTATGATGAACCCAGACTCAGTAACGGGGGCGTTATTATGGATACTAACACAGTATCAGCATCCTGAATTTCCTCAATCTGGAGCTTACATTTTAACTCGGTTCGAATACGATTTTTGTGTTTTATTACTTCAGGTTAAAGGATGATAGATTGCTGTATGGATTAAGAAAGCTTTCGCACATCTGACCTCCTTTCAAACTATAGGATTGAAAAGCTTTAAAATCAAGTAAAACGAATCAAAACACAAAAGAATTATGAAATGATCTACCTAAGCAGGACATGTTTAAAGTTTTTGAAAGCTTTCAGTCATTTTAGAAATAAAGAAAGCTTTCAGATTGGATGCAAACGTCTTCAAGAACTTAACCCCAGTCCAGTTTTTACCCTAGCTGTGACTTGTAAACATCACCAGTAATAAAACACTCTCAGACAAACAGAAAACCAGCCGGTGGAAGCACGCAAACCAAAACACACAAATGATCAGATTTATCAAAGCACAAACTTTTACCAAAACATTTCTCTCTCTCTCTCTCTCTCTCTCTCTCTCTCTCTCTCTCTCTCTCTCTCTCTCTCTCTCTCTCTCTCTCTCTCTCTCTCTCTCTCTCTTCATGCTTACTGCCCTCTACCCTCTGTTCCAATCTATTGTGCAGTCTCACATGTACACACCCACTTACAGCGGACGCTGGAAGGCCTTAGCGTTTTTTCATTCAGGCGATCATTATGTGGAATATCTTACCTAAAGAACTCAAATTTGAGTCTGACTTGTTTCATTTTAGGGCTTGTTAAAATGTAAAACTTACAAGTTGGCCAATTTTTGTCTCTACAGCTTGAGAGAAATGTCATGGCTTATTGTCATAGATCATGTTTCAGTAATCAGTACATCTACTTTGGTTTTTCACAAAAAAAAGAGGTGTCTTGTAAAGCCTGAATTTTGTAAGGCATGTAAGTTATGCTGGACAAAATAACCAAATCAAAAATCAAGATATAAAAACCTTTTTCATGGTGCTCTCATTCATGCATGATCTTGTGCTTTCTGTTCGTTCTGTTTGTTTTATGTTGTTTATTGTGAATTTGTTTGTTGGTATTTTTAAGGCCCTTCTTGAAGCAGGCATTACAAGTTAGTTTTGGCCGTGAATTTTGTAGTGTCTGGAATCAGTGAACATGCTACAAACTTCTCTCTATACACAAAGAATACACAATCACGTTCACACGGGTTAGACGCTTAATGTGTTTCTTGTTTTGTCTCAGACGAGGAGGACGAGATTTCTGCAACCAATGGAGGTCATAGACTTCCAAGGAGCCTTGGTAAGCAACCCCCTTCCTTCCTCTTTTTATACCTCCAGAGTGTCTTGGAAGTTTCGTTTGCGATTGTGTACCATGAACTTCAAACACACAACTACTGTTACTCCAGTGTTGCTTTTTTTCAACTTGAAAAGCATGACCTTCACAATGCACAAGGGGGAAAAGTACTTCAACTCCTAAACAGGTTAACAGAGCGTTGTTGTGATTGTATGGAGGATTCCTGATTCTATCCTCTCTATCCTTCATTAGTGAAGGTCTGTGAGCTGAGTTTCCCCGGGAGTTGATTGATGTGACAAGTATGGCTTTAGTGACACGCTACAATCCTTCCCATTAACCTTTTTTTCTCGCTCTCATGATAAAGCAGATGTCTGATTTACTAGACATCACTCTACAACAGTGTGGCAGACTTTGCTGGATTCCATCTTGCATGAGGAGATGATCCCACATTAATCCTCGTGTGAACTCTGCCCAGTATCATATGTGTGTCATTGTACTGTTCAGGTGGAGCAGCCTACCTGAATATTTGGGATTTCAGACGATATAAAAATGAACAAAGTTTGATCAGAAGAAGTCAAAGGATATCTACTCCTGCTGTCATACTCATGCAGGATAGTTGCATTAAAATGTTGAATCTGTCAGTCATTAATACTCATGATGCAAACTAGCTAGATGATTCTTTGTGGATAAATGAGTAAACTTAATGGCATTACATGCAACAAGGCGTCTCAGCTTTGCCATAAATACATCTCCAAGCAACATCTGAGGGTTAAGACTCCCATGTGTATTTTGACTTAGGTCCTTTTTTATTGGATAAAAAACGTGTATTCTTAACTCACAGATTAGTTGTCAAAATGTAAAATATAGTAAAAGATCTTCCTTATTACCTATCCTCATACTAACACATGTACATCCACTCATACTCACATAACAAGATTGATTACTGAACAGGCCGACTGGGTGCAGGGGTCAGGAGGGTCCCCTGGGCCTGACCTGCAGAATGTCAGAAAGAAGCATAATGACTTGAGATGTTAAGAACAACAACATGAACTGCAAAATGACCACAGATAGAGTCAATTAAAACTAAACCACATACCGAACAACTACAAAGAAAATCAAAATGACTACAGATTTGAATTTCAGTGACAAAAGACGTAAAGTGACCACAGAGAGACACAGAAGTACAAGAGATGCAAAAATAAGTTGAAATAATACATACAACAACTACAAGGAGACACAAACAGTCCAGAGATATAACAAAAAGTTGTTGCAAAAGGACATAAAGTGACTACAAAGAGACACCAAACAATTAGAGATGTAAAAATGTGTGTGATGTAGTAAGTTGAAAAAAAGTTGAATAACTTCAAATACATGAAACGACTTGAGATGTCAAGAAAAGTTCTTGCAAAAAGACATGAATAGACTACAGAGAGTCAATGGTTACAGAGTGAAAATTGTGTCTGATGTAAAAGTTCCAAAAATAAATATATTGACATAGACTTCAGAAACAAGCATAACTACCTTAACACGTGAGTGCTTAGAGGTCCTCTGTGTCAAAATCCCTCTGTGCTCACACTGAGTCATGTCTCCTCCCTCAGACGCTCAGCCGGCTCAGCAGGCTCTCTGCAAAGTGCGCACTGAGGTGGTCGAGGTCACACGGGCGATGTTGGACCGCAGCAACGCTAACTTCCTGTTATGGCCGCCGTGCGTCGAGGTGCAGCGCTGCTCCGGCTGCTGCAACACCAAGAGCCTGCAATGTGTCCCTGTATTCACGCACACCCGATACTTGCAGGTAATCTACCACACAATAAACAAATGTATGTACAAATGCATTTCCAGGATCCTGGGAAGTCTGTGCTACATTTGTGCTTCCCTCAGAGTTATACGTTTTCTAAACTCTCTCCAGGTCATGAAGGTAGAGTACATCAACAAAAGACCCACCTATGCCAAAGCAGTAGTGTCAGTGGTCGATCATGTGGAGTGCCAATGCCAGCCTGCTCCACGTCCCCCTGTGCCAAAGAGAAAATCATCTCGCAGACAGCACAACCACCAGCACCGAAACCAGACACTCAGTCAAGGACATGCACAGGTACAGTATGAACTCAGTTCTGCATGTCATTGGTTGAATCTTTAACCCTCACTAAGCAGTTTTATGTGTGTATATGTTCTGAGGTGGAAGACAATGTGTTTGTAGTTCTCATTAGTGGAAAAGTTTTTTTTGGAAACTTACACGTGTTTCATTGTGAATGTTTTGTATTTGTGTTTAAACCTAAATGCTCAATTGGAAAAAGGCAGAGTGACTACAAACAAGCTAGGCAAACATCAGCGACAGCTCAGCTTGCAGCCCCCTGACCTGCTGTGTTTGTAACACTTAGTTTTTAATGTGACACTACTTGAATATTTAGCTCTAACATTATATTCCATATGCTGTTGTTTGCTTTTAGAATGTAATAAAAAACAGGAAGTCAGTTCTTCTGCACTGCTCTAAACAGGTAGTTTACTTGTTGCATCCGTTAAACAGACTAAAGGATTTTCTGAATGATGAATGATGAAATTCTGACACTCATATCATTATCAGAAGAACTTGTATACATATGCCTGGATCACTGGAGCTATATTATCTATCTGATCAATGCATCAATGTGTAGGTTTAACATTTTGATTGAGATCAATGGAATAAGCTGAATTGAAATGTGTTGAACTTTTCTGTCAAAGGTCAAGGTGCACTCCAAGGATGAGCTCCATCAATGGGACGAGCTGAAGCAGAACCAGAGGGCCCACCTTGAGGATCTCCTGGAGCAGAACTGGAGCCCCAGAGGAGACTCCTTCAGTCATCCCAGACATGGGTACAGTCTGGCTGAAGAGGAAACACATCGCTCTGGAGAGGCTGTTCTTCTGGCTCCACACTGGGCCAAAAACTCAACCAGACTCGTTGGGACTAAAGACAATCTGGAGAATACGGAGAGGAGGGTTGGCCATATTGTAAACGGCACCACGACTGTTTCCTCAGTGGATAACGTCGGCGCTGAAATAAAGAACAAGTTGGTTGATGACATAGGCAGGTTGTTGCTTAACAATACTGAAGGTAAGGATACTGAGGGGAGAAGGGATACACAAAGCCAGAGTCCATTAATGTCAAAGGGCCACACAAGTGGTCTCCCCAACGCTGTCACGCAAAGTCTTCAGTCCAAATTCAGACCAACTGAGGCACCCGGCCTTGGGAGAATCGGGACCCAATTCCGACCGACCAAAGAGCCAAATCCAGAGCCTCGAGAACTTGGTAAGAGAGGCAATGAGACTCCTGATGAGGCGAGGACATTACTGATTGAGGAGGAAAAACTGGAGCAGGAGAGAAAAGAGCTTCTACTTCTTCATAAGAGGCTGGACAGAGAGAAGGAAATACTGAGACAGCAGCAAATGAAACGAGAGGAGGAGGAAAGGCAGAAAGAAAAGGAATCAAACATTCATCATCACCTGCATGGTAAACATCACCATCATCCGCATACAGTAACAACACAGAAACCAGGTAAGGGTCATTTTTATTACCTAGGGTCTGTTGTTGGTTTTTCTCTTTTCTGTTAACTTGTATACTTTTTGATCTCAGCAGTATTTTCACAATAACACCAGAGAAAAGGTGAGGGATTTTCTCTAATTTTTAAATCCTATTCTGACAGACACAACATCTACGACGACCACGCGGCAACCTTCAGCGCCTGCCGGTCCCATACCTCCAGCCCGTCCAAAGAAAAGGATGAGGAAGAATCGCAAACGGATCAGCAAAGCAGCCATGAGAGCAATGTTGATGTAAATACGGTAAGTTAACATTTATACAGAAAATCGACTTTGAAAATTAGGGTGACAATGAGTTTCTTTGTACTGTATGTTCACCAGTAAATGTGTTGATACCCTTCACTTTCTCTGATCATGCTGAGATTCTCAAGGATTTATAAAAAACTCTGCTGTCTTGCTGCATGATTTGATCTGACATGGAGAATGATTACTAAGTTGTTAGTAGGAGGAGGCAACCCACCTTGAAACCAGAAAGACTTGGATTGGTGGTTCTCCGTTACCTTAAAGTTTCCATTTTGAAATCAATTTAGTTAGATTATATGAAACATGGATGTAGTCTCAGTGACATTTCCCATTGGTTACTGAAGAGCTTTTTTGAAGCCAAATGATGGCAGTGGCCATATTGGACATGATGTATCCACCAAACCGTAAAGCAATCTAGAAACTTGCAACCTCCTGTTTTATTGACTTTGCCAGTATGAATAAAAATAAAGGTCTGTCTTCCTGTGTTTTCCCTTCAGGGCCACAAAGTGAACTCGTTGATCCAGATGTGTAGTAGAGTGACTCCCTTCCTATCAGTATGTATTCACTTGTTGGTAACCTGCCCGTCCTGTGAGAGATCTCCTCCGTAACACTACTAATGACTGTCTGGTGAACCTGTAACCACACCTCGGTGGAGTAAGACGAGGGTAAGAGGAAAATGGAATATAAATAAAAGGCGGACCTTGTAAAGAGAAAACCTGCCTCTACAACGACGTAGACAAAAGTGGAACCCGAGAGCTGACAAATGAAACTGCATCGCTGTAGAACTGTGGAACTGAAGTGCAATTTATTAACTCTTCTTGAAACCTGGTTTTCAAATCAACAGAGAGAAACTGCACTTGAACACGGACAGAAACTATTCTTAACGAGGTTTTATGAACAAGTCTGTCGCCGAAAGACTTTCTGACTGGACTTCAAAGTGCTTTCGACGGAAGAATGGACGCAAAAAGGAACATAACTCTCGTGTCATTGAAGAATCTCATATTGTGTTTGGATAATCTTTGAGACAATCATCAACTGGCTGCATCAACTGAATTTCAAGTGAACTAACACACAGAGGGCTCAGTGTTAGGGAGAGAAATTGCTGTAGATTTTCTGCACTGAGGTCTGATATCATTTACTAGCTCCCCAAACCAGCGGTAGTGTTTTTTTTTAAAACCATATTTAATTATATTTAAGTCATTGCGAACACTGGAATCACTTACATGATTAGAGAACAAACAGATTTGACATCTTATCAGAGATGTGAAGAAATAGGTGCTATCTAAAAAACAAAGTGATACACCTGTTACCTTACCTTCTATGTTTCCTATTTATTCATCTCTGCCCTTCTTGTGGATTTTTTTTGTTTTTTCTTTTAACAAATACTTCAAACAGTGGGCTTGAGATGCATAACACTCAATCATGATGACCGGGTGGTTCAAACAGGAAACACAGAGTACATTTTGAAAGAGGAACAAAACTTGTGTGACCTCCCAGGATCATACAGCAACCTTTGTGTCAAGAAAAACATGTGTACGTGTGCTTGTTTTGTACACCCTAAGAGCTAGAGAATACTGTACAGGCTCATGACACACCAACATTTCAGTCCTGCATCTCAGTGTTCAATAAGAGGAATCTCTCTGGTTCTGTCTGTCCCTCCGTCTTCTCACAGGAACAATCAATGTGTCGAGAGGATGAAACATTTACCTACAACATATTTGTCCGAACTGCTCCACTGTTTGTTATTTCAATCTACAAAATGTGTTTTTTTTTACATGTACAGAAACACAAAATGGACTAAAATAAGTCAATCAGTCACAAGGAAATGTGATCAAAAAGCCAAACCTTTCTCATGTAGATATTGTTTTCATGTCCTTTATATTGCCTATAGTAACAACATGTAGATACACTGGTGTTGCTCTCTGTGTCCAATAATTCATAATCAGCCAAAACATCTTAAGTTATTGAAAAACCTGTTTGTTCTTTATGCCAACTGACAACTGTTACTGATTTTGTCTGTTTTTTTTTTTTTAAACTACAGGATATGATAAAAAGAAACTGAATGTTTGTGATAACCTTGACACCTAATGCTATTTTCACAAAGATATAAGAAGCTAATGGGCTTAAAACCTCTTTGTTTGTGTTTTTTACAATTACTTTCTTTGGTTTTACTTATCCACCCATTTATTTATGTATGCATTTCTGCAGGATTTCGCTCATAGGAGGCTGAAATCTCAATTTGAAATATGCTAAATGCAATCCAGAGGAGCTGCTGCTGGTCTAAAGTGTGTCTCAAGATGAATAAGAAAGAGAAAATTGATGAGAAACAACAGTAGAGAACAATGCTGCTCTCTCCGTAGTCAAACATATTTTTGGCTAAATGGTATCGGAAGAGCTGCAGTTTGTTTGCGCTTCTGCATCGGCTTCATTTTTCAACACTGGAGGTTGACACTTGTGATAAACATCTAGATTTATCATTCTTGAATGGTGACATATGCTTATTAGTACTAAACAAAAGTACTGCAGGGGCTAGAGGGAAACTCATTAGTTTAGCCAGAATTTGGTCTCAAGTGAAGTAAGTAGCCCAACAGAAAATTTGACCTCCGTGATAGGGATGTTATAGCAACAGATGAAAAGCTAAGGGATCACCAAAGCTCTTACAATTAATACTAAAGGAAGGTACAAAGTTTTTTTTTCTCCAATAATTTTAAAAATATCTTAATAAAAGTCAAAAATGGGGACGCTAGATGTAAAAGTAGTTCACCAAAGACATTAGCATTCATCTTATTAGCATCGTAAATGACTGCTATGACAAACTTAGCTGACAATAGCAAAAATCAAACCTCAGCTTATGCCTATAGTGTGCCAGTCATTACAATTGTAAAGTGTCTGCAGAATTCATAGGACTGTTTATATCTTGTCACCATGAACTCTCTGACTCTTCTCTCCACCCCATGAACCCCGGGGAGGGATTTATTCACCGAGCCTGTGTGCCGTGTTGTGTCTACACAGAGTGCATCTGCTTTCCAGAGACTTCGTAATGACTCCTTAAATTCACATGAGTTCAGCGCGATGAGGCTCGTTGAATGTGACAAAAGAAAGACGGAGAAAAGAAAAAGGTGAACTCTGGCTCGCACTCTCTGTGTGGTTTGTTTTTCACATTTACCCACTTAACTCTTGGCTGCTGCAACCAACTGACTCAGCATTCAACTGCACAGCTACGTCTGCTAATTATTGAGTCAAGGAGTCATCTGCTCCCCTGTTTAAATGAAATCATACGAGGAATGGCTTTGAGGTACAATCAATTCTAATGTTCTCAGATTAAGACCACCCTTAAATAAAAGGGAGCTGACTTAGTGGTTGTGATTGTAGATTTGACACATTTAGGGATTCAAATTCCACATAGGTGTGTCTTAAGTCATGATAATTTGCATAAATCAGTAAATCAGTAGTTTTGATGTCTGCACAAAATGAGAATTCAGCTGTAAACTATCTAGCATCTGCATCTTTCCACTTTCCCACCTGTTTGACTTTTTTTTAAATTCAACGTGTATTCCAGTATTCAAGCATTACTTCCCGTTGCCACTTCTGTCAATCTCACACAGACGCTCTACTTCTAAACAGCAGACCATCTCCAAATTCAGCATCCAGGTGGCATCCCTGGTTTTCTGCTCATGTCCGAGCAGCTCCCAACCCCCCATGGACTTCAAATAAGAACGGGGAAGTGTATGTGGAGGCCTGTTGACTGTGACAAACACACACTGGCATCCTCGCGCTCATTCAAACACACACACACACACACACACACAGGGGTCAAACACCATGACAGTGTGGGAGGGTCGCTGAGGAACCAGAAAGTGTGACTAAAGACATGAAATGGTTCATAGCTGACTGCTTGACCTTAAAGGACGATAAGGCTTGTTAGGTCTCAAAACACTGTTACCTAACCGGCAAACAACCACTGGAACAAAATAATGGGCCATCCTGACCACAGCCTGATGAACCATTTTTACAGAGACCTGGGATCGAACTGGACTTTTAACAGACAACCTCACCTGTTTGCATGCAAAAACATTAAGATGAGGTGAATTGGAATCAAATTGCTCTCTAACTTTAAAGCTACCGGTTTTGTCTACCGTGGGTTTACCTTGCATTCTGGTAAAATCTCCTGCCTGAGAAAGCTGGATTCTGGTCTTTCATTTTTGTATAGCTTGTTTTGACATATTGTCGCAAGTAAGTTGCTGCGATGATGATGTGATGTCCACTGTAACTGCGTCAAAAACTAAAAGCCATTTTAGGCTTTTATAGAAGTGGCGCACACTTCCTCTTTCCAGGAAGACATTACACTTAAGTGTTGCACTCTGTTGCACAAATGACCCGGGCCACAAATAGTTGTCAAAAGAGTTACACCCGGTCGCTGTGTGAAGTGGGTTGGCTTGTTGACTTGTCAATGTCAGAAAGTTACGCTGGGAGAAATTTAAAATTGGATCATCATGGGGACAAAAGAAAACAGTCACAATCTCTGGTTTCTTATCAAATGTAGACACAGAGACTCTCCAAAATAGTAAAGAACACTGTTAAAAGTTGTGTAAATGTGGAATTCAAGGTTATGAGGAAGCCAGATGAATGTGTAATTAACATCTCTCTAGAATTAATGAAAAAAATGTCCTCTTAATTGGAGAAAACAAGTTTGTGTGTGTGAAATCACGCTTTGAAACATGTGGCAGGCCTCTGGGAATGTGCATCCACGCAGAACAGGAGCAGCTTCAATGTTACTTCACTCAAAAGGCCAATTAGGTACTATTCTTTTCTCATCCTGTCTTGCCAAACACTTTTTTTTTTTTACTGTGTCAAGTAGTCTTTTTCTCACATTCCTATTGAAAGATTTACTACAACTGATTGGCCACCCCAAAAATCCTAAACTGTGATTGGCTATTTGCCTTTTCAGAGGTGGGACTTTCATAAGACAGGTTCATAGGAAAGTAATGCACACTTTCTTGCGTGCCATGAACTGAATGGCCATTTTCGGGACCAAGAAATTTGTTTGCATTATCTTGTGTTATAAAGTAGACAACATTTTTCAAGATTCAAGATTCAAGATTTTTATTTGTCACATGCTCATACAGATGTGCAGTGAAATGTAAAGACTGTTCCGCAAGGCCATGCAATAACACTCAAATTACTAATACACATATATACAGTAAAATAGAATATAATGTAAAATTTAAAAAATAATTATTTGAATAATAACCTACACATATTTTTGAAGTTAGAAAGGGTAAATCATTTATATTAATTAGTGTGCGTGTGTGTGTGCGTGTGTGTGTGTGTGTGTGTGTGCGCGTGTGTGTGTGTGTGTGTGTGTGTGTGTGTGTGTGTGCGTGTGTGTGTGTGTGTCACACTTCAGGCCACCCCTGCATAAGTCTGTGCCCCAGTTGGGCCACCCCAGTCAAAAAAGTCTGGACACGCCCCTGCCCATCAGCAAAAAATAAGTTTAAGTAAAGATTGAAAAGAACATGAAGTGTAACTCAGCCTGTCATGCTGTTAAGAGCACGTGGTGTGATTACCTTGCAGTGGTATCAAACGCATGCTTCAAATTATGAGGAAAGTTTTCAGACTTCTAAAATAATAATAACAAAACATGTTTAGTTTAACAGATGTGGGGTCGACAGGCATGTTCAGCAAAGTGTTGAATTGTGTCTCATACGTATGGATAAAATAGTATCCAAAAGATTATTCTCTATCTTATGGGTTACAAAAAAAGCTCTGGGAATAAAATACATCACGGAGCCTTGAAATAGCCCCTTATTGTCCAGACTGCCTTAGAAGACATAAAACTGGAATAACTGTCTGTGTTTTAGTTTCGCCTGGATTCCCTGATGCACAGTAGTGAGGAAACAGGAGGCCTTTGAACAGGAGGTTACACAAGCATCCGTGCGGCGCCGCGCACTCCCTACACCTTCCAGCGCTTTTATTTTCCTGTTTTTATGTACGACAAAGGACAGGGACATGCTGTACACAGACGACAAACACAAGTCATCAAGTGTACACACTTTTCATCAACACGCTTTAGTCCTTTATCTTCCTTCTTTCCACTGATGAAGATGATTATAGGCGTCTCTCACTTCTTCACTCAGCCAAAGCCCCTTCCTCTGCGACGGTGTCTGTAAAGATTATGTCTTGTTTTCTGTGGCTGAACATCTGAAGAAAATACACAAATACTCTGAAAACACATAGAATCACCTTCCTCTCACTTCTGCTACTGTACCATAGTAAAATAGATGATTGAGTTGAGCGTGTTTGCGGGCATCGAGACATGTTTGTCGGTGTGTGCCAGACCGCTCCTCCAAACCATCAGACAGGACGTTGTACCTAGCGATGGCTGGAAACAAAGGAAGTTGATATCAGCATGCCTGGAATTCCACCATTGTGTTCTTTCTGCTGAGACAAAAAAGACCCCGCAGATGCTTCTCTGATTCACAACATGTTGTATAAATGTGTCATTTAAAGCATAGAAATATCACAGCTACATGAGTGCAGGCCACAGACACTCACACTTGCTTCCAGACACTGGACAGACCATTAATTCTCAGCAAAGCCCTGCCAGGTAAACAGATGTGCAGATAAACAGAGCAATAAATTAGATAACACTGTGTATTTTTTTTCATGTGTTTGTGTGTGTGCATTTGTGTGAGTGAGAGAGTCAAGCAATAATCCCCCATGAAGACAGATTTGAGTGTTCTAGTGTTCAATTTGAAGAGTATTTGAAAACTTGGAAGGGGTGGTTTAGCTCAGTTGGTGGAGCAGGTCCCCCAAACAATAAAAAGTGACTGCTTTTTGAAATGGACTGAAGTAGTCGGATATAAAAACAAATGAAAACACGGTCTGATTATTGGTATCATGTTACAGTCATGACTTCATCGGCTATGGTCCTCGTTGCACCCCATGTACAGAGGCTATGGTCCTCGTTGCACCCCATATAGGAGGCTATGGTCCTCGTTGCACCCCATGTACAGAGGCTATGGTTGCAGTTGTTGCTGATTTGACTCCTGCTCCTGTCGCTCTAGTCCTTTTGACTCCAGCCAATTTCAATATATTTTGAAACGCTTATATAGGCTACTTACTAATAAGAC